TCGATAGCTTTCTTTGATAGACACTCAGGGAACTCTCAGTCAGCTTAATTTTATTATTGAGTTGCTGTACAATTTTTAACATTGATAGCCTGAAATTTAAAATGCAACTCCACAGTCCATGTTTTAGCTTTCTTTCGTGCTTTGTTTGTAGATATATATTAATATTTTTTCTCCAGTCGTGTTTCTTTAATGATCTATATAGCAGGAAGCTCGCTCTCAGAAAACGTATATGAAATGATCTTTACTTCTGAATAAACATGGCTATACGGAAGTAATTTAGATTATACAAGTTTGCAAGAATATATTCTTTCTATATAGTTTTTATAATTTCTTTGCCACAAAAGATTTGGTCAGTATAGAATTGTAGATATAATAGAATTAACTAACTAATCGTAGAACTAGAAATTGATTCATTAGTATTTTGGGGTAGAAGTCCTAGAAACCCAAGTCGCGAGTCAAGTCGAATTCAGAGTTATTCGAGTCCGAAATCGAGTCGTTCACTAAATTGAGTCCTATTGACAGTTAGTTGATGACGTGTCCGAGTTATTCCATTTGGATGACTCGTGTTCAACTTGAGACGAGCTGATGTCTCGATCCCAATGAACAATATGTATTAGTATTGGAAATCTAAATCTGAAATATATTTAATTCGATTTTGGCTTGGATTTCTTCTTTAATAAATAATATAGAACCTCTGCAGGAATTAAGTCATTACCTGCCTTTGTTAAACCCACAGTGATGTATTTCATAGTATTGAAACGAGCATAGCTGCGGTATGCTAGGCAGATTTTATGAAATTATAAATAACTAGAACAGATATGTGGCTTGCCGGAATATATTCATTTATTCCTAGATTCCCTGCGTAATATTATAATGACTTGGAAGACAGATGATAAGTAAGCAGTATCAAGGTCAAATATATTAAGTATTAGGTTATATGATATATTTGTCCCTCACAACGCAATCTTATTCGTTAATGCAATGGCCCAGAGGGGAGGCGTTTTGAGCTGAACTATGTTACGGATTAGATATCTCAACTTTCAATTCTTTGCGCCCACCTCACCCAGGGTATAATATAGTCCATTATCATTCTCGGGTTGACCGTTCTCGATACCAAACGGCAGGCTCTACCGTAATTGAGGGCTTTCGCCACCGCTGACGTCCCGACTCGACCCGGTCGCGTGATATACTAGGGCGCTTATGAACTTACTCTATAAGTTAGGTATGCTCCGTATTGCTCGTGCACTTAACGGTCTTACCTTAGGTGAGGTAGGGTAAGTATTGCTTGTGCACTTACCTTGGGTTGGGCAATGCCGACCAAACAAGACTCCGGTACTTCCAAAAAATAGTATCGATTAGTATAAAATTTTGCTGATTTAGGCGAATTGCATTAGGCCATTTATTATAACACTTGGCCTAATATCGTTATGTGACTTTCGTGTATAGGTATTTGAGCCAAACCAATAATCAAGAACCAAAAAAAAGAAAAATATGCGTTCATATGAGTGACGTCACTGGTCAGTTTTGATATGAACTTTATCACAGCATAACTGATGACGTCACACTTGTCATTTCGTATAAACTAATGGCGCTGATGACGACACTGGGTAGCGGTTACGCGGATTTTTTTCCGCCATAGTCAACATGTGTTAAAGTGCGTATGCAAATTAATTTGGTCGTGTTGTTTATCACATTATCGTATATTTACAAATAAATGCGATTACCGGCGTTTATGATTTATGACAGAGAAATGTCATAAGGTTAATATTGCTTATCAGAAAACATAGGAATGAATTGATTAGGAAGCCAACATAAATGCTTGCTCCAGTATTTACCTTTTGTTATATTATTTGCTGGCCATTTCTGAACGTAGTAAACAATAAATATCGCCAGGAACCAACTCAACTATTACGGATCCCTATTCTAAACGGATTGCGCGAGGGAAACCCGGAATGATATGAAGATAATTGCTGGAAATTAAGATTTTGTAATATAGTCCGGTAGAATCGGGGCATCGTGATACATAAAGTTTTTTTATTGTTCACATAGGATTTTGATGATATAAATAATGATTCCCAGGTGGGAATTTTTTCAAAAAATATTTTCATTTGCATTCATAAACAAAAAGTCAACCCCCTCAAAAATCGATTTTTTTATATCATTTACAATATTTCAGTTTTTATACAAATATTTCAGAACTAAATGAATTATTTTTTAATAAATAATTACACCAAATTTGCTTACAATGGTACCATGTTGAAATGACAGGCAATAATCCCAACATAAATAATCAAGAATAAAAAACCGAAAACAAGGTTGAGCCAAAAAGCTCCAGTTATCTACATTCTACAGGACTGATTGAAAATGGATTCATCCGGTTATTATTGGTTAAATTAAATTCATAATTCATTGGTTAAATTAAAGTTCGGGGACTAGCCAAATGACTCCTGTGGTATTTGTACTTTGGGGGTTCCGATTATGAATATAATTTACAATGGTCGAGTCTATTACCGTACCGCGTGTGGCCGCGTTGTTTGCAATGATCGGCCCTTGTAGTGGTCTCAGTCATTTTTTGAAACAGAGTTCAGTGCCCTCTGGTATCGGCGTATAAACACCAGAGAAACCCTGCGCAGGCCGAGTAAATAAAAGAATAACAATAAAAAAAATTCGATCTGGTTGTTTACCATCCTATTGCAAATTTCTAACAGCTTGCCATTAGCGGAATCGCTGAGTAAGGGAATGGTTGTGACAATAAGATTGCTCAGAATAAATAGGAAATAATTATATTTGAATTTCATCATGTGTCAATGTAGTCTCTAGCGCAGGGATGGCGAACCACTGACCCGCGGATCACAAAGTGACCCACCGAGTTTTATTCGTGACCCGCAAAGGCACGAATAAAATAAAAAAAAAGCTAAAATACCAATGATAGAAATTGATAAAGCCGTCCTTAAATTAATCTAACAATAAATATAATTATAATGTACCGTTAGTTGGGCAGTCAGGGCTGCGATCGCTCATACCGTGTTCCACCGAAAATAGGACTGGGTCCTATTTTAATTTTCTTCTGAAAAATAACACTATGGCTTTTAATTCGGGGATGTCTTATATTTTCATTTATCAGAAACAAAATTACAAAGTATAGAATTACGATATTTTTCCATATACAAAATATGAATATCCATATCCATTTACTTAAAAATAACACGTTTTTATCCAAAACATAGATTATTAATCATTTAAAACGCGTAGACTAGTAGTTGCTATCGACTAGATGAGAAAAAAAAATTGCTTTTTTTACTAGGTCTTAAGGGGGTGGGGGCTCATATTATCATAATTTTCAAAATTCAGGCTAGGTCTGATTTTCGGGATAGGCTTATTTTTCGGGGAACACGGTATTCAAATTGTTAATTGTCGGGCAGCTGTGGTAATTTTCAAAACCCCTAATCTTGGACGCATGTCTGCACCGCTGTGTTCCGTTATTCAGCTATTGGCTTTGACATCGTTTAAAAACTTTATGACATAATAATGCAATTGATCTGGTCATTCCCTCCATGGAACCGTAAAATAATTTGCCGCATCATCCTAAACGATTTTGGTAATTCTAATGCGTGTTTTCGTACTATAATTTAATAAAATCGCGTGTCATAACATGTCTCTGATAGAAGTAAAGCCCAAAACCACACCAACAGCAACAGAAGCTTATAAGATTTGTTTCAGAAGTTTCTTATAAATACACACATTGATTAAACATATAAGATCCACTCTCTTCTGTTCCGCAATAAAATATAATTGTTGACCCACTCATTGAAAAGTGTTTGCCATTCCTGCTCTAGCGTTTGTCTAAATATTTAACTTCTGCTATTGATATTTGCTATTCGATTTCTTGAATGTAATGAAAAATTAAAGTTGAAAAATAAGAGTGCCAGGGACCGCTTAGGTATTACGAGGCCCTATTCAAAACGAATCGCGCGAGGCCCAGATAGAAAGATAATAACTTAAAATTAAGATTTTGTGATATAAAATGAATTAGTCCTTACATATTATTACATTTAATTTAAGTACAAAATCATGATTGAAGTAAGTTTACTTTACAAGTCTCGCTTGTAGCAAATTCATGCTGTGTACCATTGCAATTATACTATGGTTTAGTTTGATAGTGTACACTTAGAAGTCCTGCTGGGCCTATTGTGGCCGTGTAGGTTGCAGTGATTGGCCTTTTGTAGTGGAATCTTCCCCTGCACTGATGACGGTAATGCCCTATTGCAAATTGAGTGGTAAGAAATCTCGAGATGAAGTCTTTTCGACAAATAGTAATCAGCGTGCTCGTAGCAAAGGATTCTTAACTAGGATTAATTATGCATGCACGAAAAATTCTTCACTCGGAACAAGGCTCTGCATAAGCAGCCTTGCATATCCAATTCGGCGCTTCTGTAGTATGTGCACCAAGATGTCGCACAACCTTAACCTCAACCTGGTACACATACTATGTTCAGGTTGTGCGCCATCTTGGTACACATACTACAAAAGCGCCGAATAGAATATGCAAGGCTGCTTATGCAGAGCCTTGTTCCGAGTGAAGAATTTTTCGTGCATTCATAATTAATCCTAGTTAAGAATCCTTTGCTACGAGCACTCTGATTACTGTGCTATGCTTTAGCTGTGTCGCCATTGCTACAAACCCAATGCCGCCGTCTCATACAGTGTGTAATAAATTGGGGAGTTTCAGAAGTATGTGCACCAAGATGTCGCACAACCTTAACCTCAACCTGGTACACATACTATGTTCAGGTTGTGCGCCATCTTGGTGCACATACTTCTGAAACTCCTCAATTTATTACACACTGTATGAGACGGCGGCATTGGGTTTGTAGCAATGGCGACCCAGCTAAAGCACAGCTTTTTACTCACTACTAGGCAACACCCACATATTGCTCTGCTAAATATCACCAAATAATATGGAGAAATGTTCGTTTTGTTTACAGACTCACCTAATTATATTTAAAAGTTTGTTTTATCTCCCGGAGATCTCAATATTGAAAATATTATTTTCTGGTGAAATGTGAGAACAAAATCATGTCTTTCAAACACCCACAGCACTCTTATTACAGTAAAGATCGTACACTAAAGAATGTCAAAGACTTGGAACGACTAAAATCCATTTCGCCAGAAAAGTGTGGACGGGAACTTTGTTTGAGTCATGTTCCTTATAACCTGCTCAACAAATTGAAATCCGTCATTTTACATTCCCAAATTGAAAAAATAATTTTGATTTCCTGTTTCGACGATCCATTCCATACACTACAAATCCTTGAATCGATGCAAAGAAATGATTGCTTATTTGTAAGTACAATTTGTCACATAGAAACATAGGATAGGATTTACATATTCATCCTTGGTGAGAGGAAAGTTGTTCAGTGCGACCTGCGGTTGCGTTAACCACCCTATGACGTCGAGAACTCTAGCAATCCTTCGACAAATAATTATCCTTTCATGGAATTCAAACCAGAGGCGTGGTGGCGAGCTTATTCTGAACGCTCAGAACCATGCGTACACCGCCGAGTATACATATGGATCATTTTTTAAATTATTGTTTTTATTGATTGTACAAGTCGATAAGAGCTAGATTTCTAGATTTTTCTTACATATAATTTCAACTTTCATGTTTTTTTTGGGGTACCTTTTTGCTTGTTTATACAAACCAATGTACATGACATCCGGAATGTATTTTTATTTTTATGACTTTCAGTAAAATCTTCTTGACATTCAATTTTGTTGAATTCAAGCCCCAGTCCAAACGACATAAACAGAGTGTAAAAGATCTGTGACTGTAAAGTTTAGATATAATTTTTAATTAAATTCGGACCTTTTGTACAATATTCTCGCCAAAGAAACATCCCCGCCAATGCGCAAAATAGGGGAATTGGGAATCATCAACCACTTTCGCTTGAGGTCAGAGTCGGGAATGCAGATTTCCCTGGAAATTTAAATTGTCAAATTATTCATGACTCAAACTGGATAATAAATAATTCCTTCTTTTGAAAACGTGGCGGGGGTGTTTTCTCAAATCTTGCACTTTTGCAAATTTTGCATTTTTGCATTAGTGGTAGGTTCTTTAAATTTTGAATCAGAGAGGATTGGTTTTCAATATTTTTGAATCGAACCATATATATTAAACCAGCCTATGGTACACCCGTAGTATATGTACCAGGTTAGGGCTAGGCCACAATTTATTTCCGATTTTCTCTATTTTAGTTCTATTACGAGTTCGGGGACTGTCTGTGTTAGCCAAGTTATTATACTACAGGTTTCAGTCCTTTTATACAACTTAATGCAAAGTACGTGATCAAAATTAGTTACCTTCATATTGGTACACATACTACTGAAGCGCAAAGTCTATTTTATTTCATCCAAATCATTTCGATTTAAATTTCTGGATCTTATATCTCAATTCGCGACTTTGATTTGAGCCCTCCAGCCATCCCGAGCATACATATGTCTAGATAAGCATATTAATATTCACTTCTTCTATTTCCAGAGCGTACATTTGAACTTACTGGACAACGTTCATAACAATCAGTGTGTTGCTGCTATTATAGACCTTATCACCCGCGGGGTTGTCAATTCCATCGAAGTTCCAAGAGAACTTAACGAAGAAAACTCTGAAAGGTTGTTGGCCGGAATATTGAACAGCCAAAGAGAAGTGAGAGCTTCTTTTATTATTTTTTATATTATTGAAGTTTATAGAATAAAGATTAAATTTCTCACCCTGGTTTTAATAAATTAGGTAGGTGATGTCGAACCGATTAAATTTCTTGCCTGTAATAAAAGAGTTATCTGCAAATAAGTGACTGCCTATACGACGCCCAGTTTGAATTGTGATTCGTGTAAAACATGAATAAATATATAATGTAATAGTCATTGTCTGGTCTGGTGTAACGTTTTCAAATCGCGAAGCAATTTCAATTTTGTTGCGAAGCCAGTTCTTAGTAGTATATCTTAACCAGGTTTGTTGTTTTATAATCAGACATTGTTCAAGTATTTTTACTTCATTTAATACATTTGTGAGAAATTCATAACTCCTGGATATAAACCTTATATATAACCTATTTTTCATTGTACAAAAGAGTCCGAGTGCGGCATGCCCTTAACACTAGCTATGTTTCATTGAAGATTAGATAAATAAAGTAGTTTTTATGCACAGTGAGGGTGTAAAGAATTTTTAAGATAGGCGAAGGTGTGAATTCGACAGAGGTTGGGAACCACTGGTCTAGTTCAGGAATGTCAAACCTGCTCCTCGTGGACCAAATGCGGCCCACAAAGAAAAGTTGTGTGGCCCGCGAAACGAGTTTTCAATTTAGTTTAATCTGATACGCGCGAGTAATTCCAAGATTATACATGGGTCAATTTTTTAAAATCTGTGCCCATGACGTTACATTACCTTAACAACTAGCTTGTGCGAAGCGAACAGCGACTATCATAAGATCAATAATCAGATTTTTAAGCCTGAAACTACTAGATAGTCTATGTTAAATAAAGGTGCGACCCGTGGTTTTCCCAAGTTATTTGTACAAGTTGCACTGCCCTTGTCTATAAATCATTATCTAGTTATACGCACAACTCACTGGCTTTTGCACTGTTCAGCTACTTTATATTGTATCTATAAATATCAACTAAAAGACATTAGTAACATACGTCGTTTCAGCTTTCGGGTTCATAAATAGCAAGGTTATCATGTTTTCCGTTGCTTTCAGTTGAAGATTGTCAACTTGAATGGCTGTACTCTAAACACTACAGCTTTGGGCCACTTACAAGAATTATTGGCAAAAGGAAGAATTTCTAAAGAACTCAACTTTGCAAACTGCCTAGGATTATGTAAGTCAAAATTAACAACCATGGACAAATCAGAAATCCAAAAGGCATTGAACTTTGGTAAGAAACAGGTGAGAAACCCTACCATGCCTAACAATTTTGCATGATGACGGTATCTTTTTGTATTGTAACTCCTAACATCGATGTATTTCGAAAGAGTCGGCAAAGAGTCAAAAAAATTCAAAAAAATCTGGCATCAGAGGTATATTTAAAATAAATAGGAGTTTTTAGTCACAGCTGGGTGCAAATTTTCCGACTCCTTACAAACCAACTTTTAAGATATACGCGATGATGATTGTTTATTTTGTTTCTTGTAGACAAGACAAAGCCCCAAAGTCAAGTGGTTCGATGTTGTAGAGCACATAGAAGACGTTGGCGTGTATCGCGGCAGGATAAAAGTCTCGGTGAGTCTTTTACAAAAATGTGACAAAGTGTCGTGATAGTGAGTCTCATGGTTTCGTTATATCTTTTGTAATGTTGTTCATATTGCTGCGGTATTTGAACTCAGTATTTCGATTGAACCTGCCACGTTAGTTATAGCCGATATAGAAAACGGGATACAGAGAATACGAAGACTTTACACGCTTAGCCACTGATAAAAAAGCCTTTATGTTAATATATTTTGGAGAGACTAAAATTTTTTTGATTCGACATTTTCTTCCTATTTCTTACACCCCAAAAAAGTGATGGGAATGTAATTGAAATCCATACCCTATGATACAAACATAATCAAGTACAACTTATCCAATCAATAAAAATTGCGCCATGTCGCTTTAACATTATTTTATGGGTTTTTATTTTATGTAACGCTTTTTCATTCCTTCTAGTTCAAAAAGGTAGTCAGAGTGGTATACAACCGAGCAACTAAGCGTAAAGAGGAGAGGGTAATACAACTTGTGCGACTCGGATTAGATGCTTGGCAGCAATACAAGCCAGGAAGCAAACGGAGCAACCAATCCGATAACGCAAACATAGTAAGTGTGGACGTATCTATAAAACAAGGCACAAACATAACATACTATTACGTTAGAAAATTTAAGCAAATACTTTTAACAAACCCAGTAATTCACTGGTTCTAAAACTTTTTTATGTCGCGCCTTGAACTTTTTCAAGTCTCGCGTCGCACCTCAAAAATATTAAGCTAACAATAAGCTACAGATAGTAGGCCGAAAGTGTGTTTTATTCAAAAACACGTTTAAAATATTTGGACGAAACGTATATATCCAAAATAGAGAAATGTAAATATCCCATATCAAAGTTTTGAAATATTTTTATTTTTATTAGCTTAACCCCCATCCCACATAAAATTGTTCACGTCCCCCTTGTGGGCTGCGCTCCACCATTTGATAACCCCTGCATAATTTGTCCACTTATATCATATATTGACTTTGATAATTGTGTTCAGGCAGAGAAAAGATCTGGGATAGACGACGAAATGGAAAGAATTTCCGAGCAATTAGCTTCCCAGAAAGTTTCAGGTCGGTTTGGCTACTTTTATAAAATGCTGAGATTATGCATAGTTGAAATTCGGCTGAGGAGCAGCGCCGTTGAGTTGGGGATATCCCATCTCCTATTCGGAATCCAATTGATTAAATACATTCCGGGTAGTGCTGACGGGGTTTTAAATTATAGTTCTATAAACTGCAACGCTAGCGTGTATAATGCTCTAACAACTGGGCCATCGCGCACTAAAACAGATATAAGTTACACACGAGATGACTGTATCTCAACCATATTTGTGTCTAAAACTTACAAATTTTCTATGCAATGCTAATTTAGACAAAAAGGATTCGTCAAAATGGAAAAGATTTAAGACCGGTGCTTGGAGGAAGAGGAAGAAAGCTCCCGATTTTTCGAGTGAGTATTACAAACAGTACATTTAATATACGGTTTAGTCCGATAGTACCAGCGCGCGTAGTGGGACCAAAAAAGACTTACACCCGATTCAACACCTTGAACATTTAAATAGGACCCATGAAATAAATCCTAATTCCTGTCTGACGCAAAATATGTGCAAAAATATAAACATCTAGTTCAGGAGTGGACGAGAATTTTGAACCTAGGCCCTAGGACCATGTGAGTGTGACGTGAAAAGTTACGCACGAGCTAACGAGGCGAGGAAAGTGGTGTGGGAAACGCGCTGTCGAATCGAGTAATCGAGAAAGTTTTGGTAACGTCCCACATCATAAAACTTAATTTGCGGCAATCTAAAATACAACTTACACAGACTATGATCATAATCAAACAAGCCTATTTTAGCGCCAGATTAAGTCACCCAAAGGCCAAATGTGTCCCTTGCTACGTAGTTCGCCTATGTAGGATCTAGTCTAATAGGTATAATCATCCTGACTACGTTTGTGAACTGAAATGAAAGAAACAATTTATGACTCTATTTGGATAAAAAGGTATATAGTTTACAACTCTGAGCAAAAGCACCAAAAAAGTAGCTTCTAGAATTTCAATGTAATTTGTAAGAAATGGTCCTCAGGGACTTTTTACATCTTCTATAAAAAAACATTTATTCTCGCCGTGATAGAATTACCAATCAAATATATCCGAAATGGATCGCAAGCTGTTGCTAAAGAGCAATTATTTCCTTTCTATATACTGCGATAGGCTGTTGAAACGGATTGTCAAAAACTTTTGTTAGGAAATTTTTGAACCAGTATTCACTAATGCGTTATCATTGGAAGTTTTTGGCCATATCTTGTTCAATATACCCCGCGTAGAGTAAATGTGGGTTTGAATCCAAATACAATACCCTTCCCCGCGTTCTATTTAAAATTGAGCACAGTTTATTATTTTTCATTCTGACATATACACAATATATTTATTTCAGATGCGCTGATGAAAGACTCCGATAAAGTTAAAGAAGACAATAGATCTATACAGCAGCCATATAATGAAAGTTTGTATGAATTTTTCTACTCTAATTAACAAATGTTTTCTCAGAGTATGGGTACTCTTGTAGTATGTGAACCAATAACGCGGACACCGAAATGTAGTATGTATACCAGGTTAGGGTTAGTCCATCATTTTAGGTACAAATACTCAAGGAGTCACTTGGCAAGTCCCCGAATTCGTAATAAAACTAAAATAAGAAAAATTGGAATAAAATAATGACCTAACCTTGACCTGATACAAATCTTAGTCCGCCATTTTAGTTCACACACTACGGGAGTACCAAATGGCAAGCATCCATCTACTCACTTACTGAGAGGCTCAAGAGGATTTGTGGGTTGAATAAATACGCCAGTATGGATCACTTAATATGGAAGACTCACCAAAGCCATATGACAAACTTGTACTGGCGTTGATAAGTGAAAAGAAAAGCCAACTTTATAGTTATTATAAAATAACTTCGTTTCTTTCGAATGTGAGACCGTGTGTCTAGATACTTGGTACTCATGTAGTATGTGAACCAAGATGGCGGATATGGTTAAAGTTAGGCCATAATATCATGTACAAATACTACGGGAGTAGTCACTTGGCTAGTCCCCGAACCCGTAAAACAACTAAAATAAGGAAAATTAGAATAAAATTATTTCCTTACTCAAACTGGTACACATACTACGTTCCGGTGTCCGTCATGCTGGTGCACATACTACGAGAGCGCCAGATACTTTACTAATCTAATATATCTAAGGAAAAATTCTTACTCGGCAGGACAGCGGTATTGTACGAAACAACGAAATGATGACATGACACGACATTCTGAGCAGACATTTGAAAAATCTTCTCAACAAATCTACGCGGAGGTCTACAAGGCACCAGAAGGTAAAGAGAGTTTTTTTTAAACCATTTGTATTTTTTCGCGCCAAATTATGCCGGGGACTTAATAGGAATATAATATGGGAGCATTTGAAGTGACGTTATACTACTAAACTTACATCACGAATCAAACAAGCGGCGTCATAGTACAAATATTGACGTCACAATAATATGTGATGTCATAAAAAACTGACGTTGGACAGCAGAAGAACAATATTACGCTGGTGATTCACATATAGACCATTCAGCGAGTTACCTCGTAGCAACGGTTACCAACCTTTTTGGTGGGACAAAACCCCGAATGAGACATTTCAGAAACTCGGTAACGCCGATGCAAAAATTGAGTTGATTTTTATTGTCCGAATTGTGTGACCGATAAAATTATATAAAATCAAAGCTAATGCTCTTATTGAGCAAAAAATATATTTGAAGTGTGGCGTGAAGTTCAATTATAGAATGATGGGAGAAACTTCCGACTGAGACATTTTAGAGACATCGGGGAACCCAAGTGTGATAGTTGAGCTGTCTTTTATTGTCTGAATTATGTAAACGATAAATATATATAAAAGCAGAGCTAATACTGTCGAGTCAAAATTTATTTCACAAGTTCGATAATTGTGGCCATTGGCTAAATCTGATATAATAGGTATTTGATTATATTTAAACAATATACATACGATGTATAATAATATAGACTTTCGGATTTGAATGGAAACTTGCTGGCCACTGGACTGTATTAGCGTACCCACGGTTAAAAACCACTGTCCGAAAATTTCGGTGCTCTGGTAGTATGTGAACCAAGATGACGGACACCGGATCGTGGTATGTGTGCCAGTTTATGGTTAGACAATAATTTTATACCAATTTTTATTTTTTATTTTGTTACGAGTTCGTGGACTAGCCAAGTGACCTCCTTAGTATTGTACCTGTAATTATGGCCCAACCCTAACCTGGTACACATACTACATTCCGGTGTCCGCCATCTTGGTTCACATACTTCAGGAGTACCGATAATTGTGGCTATTGCCTAACCCTAACGTAATATCTGATTATATGTAAACAAAGTACATATATAAATATCAAATTTAGGATTTGAATGAAAACTTGCGGGTTCCCTAGGCTGTATTGGCGTAACCACGGTAAAAAAGTACTGCCTCATAGGATCAAAAAATTCCGGTACTCCCGTAGTATGTGAACCAGGATGGCGGACACCGGAACGTAGTATGTGTGTACCAAGTTAGACTTAAGAGATTCTAATTTCTCTTATTTTAGTTCTATTACGAGTTCGTATACTATCAAAATGACTCACGTAGTACTTGTACTTGAGATTATGGCCCAACTCTAACCTGGTACACATACTACGTTCCGTTGTCCGCCATCTTCGTTTACATACTACGGGAGTACCAAAATATCAATATGTTGTTAATTTAGACTCAGCAATGGACGAATGCTTCGACGAACTTTCTACACCTCAAGATTCAAAGGCATCGCCACCCGGGATTCAATATGGCGGTAAGTAGTTAATTACTATTTGATTAGGCCTCGATAAGAAAAAATATCACTGTACGCACACAGTAGTTTTTAGTTACTCGGATATTACAGTAATTCTAGTAAAAATATATGACAAAGATATAATATTTTTCTGCTGGATTAACCGATTTGTCGTTAGTTCTAATTCATATGCCACAAGGGTGCCCGATAGTCAAAAGAAGCATGTTACATTTCAACAAACTTTGTGTCCATATTGCATTGGTCCGAAGCCTATTGATGCCTGAGGTATAAATGACTACACATAATATTTATTGCATTGTTTTCTGAATATGAAATGTTTAGTCTCTGGATTTTATATATATATATATACATATATTGTATTTGTACATAAAGAAAGGCTTTCTTGGGACATAATTATTCCTTACGCATCAGGGCCTGCTTTTTACTACTCGCACTACTTGAAATGTAGGGCAAAAAGTCCTCAAATAACACTATTTTGATATCTGAGTCACCAATTTTACGATTGACTTTTTACGTATGCACTTACAGCCCTACGTGAAAGACAATTACCAGATTCCACTAGGGTGGGACCAAGAGCCAGTTCTGATTTCGGCTCTCGGTATCAGTTCCCGTATGCAGATGAACAACCCGATCACCAAGGTAAGAATATAACATAGTCTGTTGCAATTTTTGAAGGGTTTTTTAAATAACTTTCTTGACAACCAAATTTTTTTTCTAGATTTCCAGCTATAGTCCAAGCCGATTTCGCAAATGAATATTCACATGCAGTTGCCCATCATTTGTGCATTATATTAGCATTGGTAACAGACAATGAACAAATTCGCGAAATCGGCTTTGAATAGATGGAGATATAAAAAAATAAATATCCTTGTTTGATGAATTCCCAGTGTTTCGGGTTGCCAAAAAGATATTTAACATATGTTTGTATTGATTTCTTACATAGATGACAAGGAATACATTTCTGGGATACCAAAAACATTCAAAGATTGCACCAGACCATGCTATACTGAAAGTTTTATTCCGCTTTATTTCACAACTTCCCACAAAAACCCAATTTTGAGAATATCTAACCCAAGTTTTACAAAACCAAAATATAAAAAATAGTAACATGAATTTTCTTAAAGTGCATTTCGAAAGCCAACATAAAATCTAGGTAAAAAGCTGGCAATTTTTTCCTTACACAGTGTTATAAAAAAATTTAATTTATCTTTTTAGCTCACGCAGACCTGCCGGTTCAACCCACCAGTCGTTCTGCATCTATGTCCCCTCAATTTGTGAACCCAGATGGAGGTTAGTAAAAAATATGGATTTGACAAACGTAACAGCTACTCAGCATTAGATTACATTAGAAGAAAGTAGCATTTTTTCATTCATCCAGATGGTGAATGGTGGCTTAAACAAATGGCTAATCGACGCCCGGTCAACCCTTTTTGATGCACGGAGATACCCTGAGGGCCAGGTACTATGCACTCAATAGAGTGGGTGGTATAAATTTATTCAACGAGTCAAACTTGAATCTTGAAAAAAGTAATAGCCTTCCAGACACTTTTCTGTATAAAGTAATGAGAAATGGGAATCCGATTGGCCCACTGGCACGGAGTCACTTCGACAGCGAGGTACCATGCACTTCGGAGAGTGGGTGGTATGTATTCATTTTACTTGGAAAAAAGGTAATAGCCTTTTGGACACTTTTCTATATTAAAGTAATAAAAATGCAAAAACCGATTAGCCCAGTAGAGTACAGAGCCTTTCCCCCAACAACAGCAACAACAGTTTAGCAGAACAATTTTACCCACTAACCCTACACTCCGTGCCTAACAAGCAACAGATTTATATGCTTTTCAATCCCTTCTCAATTTTTGTTACAGAAAGAAATCAACGTCGAAGCCATCGTTCTTTATCCTGTTCGATTGAACCTCAAAGAAACGAACGTTTAGTCAATCCTAGACAAGGTTTGTGCCATTTTGAACACATTTTAGGGAAGTAGCTGTAAAAATGTGCCGGTGCATTATATGTTTCAAGCGTATAGAAATTTGTAACTGTTTTCCACAACCTCAACCAGACGGTGCTTATTGGTGAGAAACGCTGAAACAAGAAAATTCTGGCCAGTACAAGATACACCCCGTGCGACAGTATTAGTGCGTTTTGTCGAGAGATTTTAGTAATATCTTGTTAGTGTCCAGATTCTGATTTTCTAATCTTTTTTTCGATATACAACCTGCTGTCACCGAAGACAAATGTAATAAAAAACAGATATGAAAGTTAAAGGCAGGACAGTAACGTATGGTACCCATTATCATATATTCCAAGTACTTCGCCAGCAAGTAAATCTTACAACGTAAATCATTACTAAAATGCTGACAAGAAATATTTCACGAAGTTACTGTTAGATAAACAAATTTTTCATTTTATATTACAGGTGCCCCATCAAGCGGTCGTGGTGGAAGGCGCAATCAGGTCAGCGGCAACAATACTATATCACAACAATCAGCCGCAGGCGCAGCATTTCAAAGTAAAGCAGACAAATTTATATGTTTAAACCATAGGTCACAATAACATTTTTAGATGGGCCACAAATATATCAAATATTGCTAGAGTTAATCATAAATTTAGTTAGTTTGTGTCACAATAGTTAAATTTTGATTGTGGTAGCAATGAATGATAATGATGCCTTTTTGCTACTGAATGGCAATTTTCATTTCAATTATTAAAGTGGAAGTATCAACTTTTTGTGGGAGGCCTTTTCAATTTTTTCCTGGCATGAAAATGTCATTGGGCCACCGAATTTTTGTGCAACAAAGATGGGTACGAGAAAAAGAAGGTTGAGAACAACTGGTTTAAACGACTGTTTTTTATATACTACACTATTTATTTCACGACTTTCAATTCAAACAATGCTCTGTACAAATCGAATACTGATATGCGAGGAGCCACTATTTTTGAGAAGGACCAGAATCATTATAGTTTGTCATTGCGTACCCATTTTATTGCATCTTAGATCACGCAGAGGACATAAAGCCCGGGGAGATATTTTCCCAGTTATGCTAATGAAGAACGAAGCCAAAACATTCGACCTTAGATGCCAACATAAAAAAAAGTCCAACGTGTTCAAACGCCCACCATGCCAATAAATTAGCGGTTGAGCCGCCTGCGTGGCAGTTTATATTGAAGTCACTCATCAAGCTGTAACTTTGGGATGCAAATTAAAAAAAAAAAACTTGGAACCTCTCATATTGAAGCCAATCTATATTAGAATTTAGACCTTGCCTTTTCGATTTACCAGTTTCCAATAATCATTTTTTCATTCTCATTTGCTTCTATGATAATTTTTTAGATCACCAACAAGGTCGCAGTAACAATAACAACAATATAATGCGACCAATGACTAGGGCATATTCCCGAGAAAGTAAGTCAAACCTATCACTGGCCTATTTCATCTACGTTAAGAACAGTGGTTATCAAAATCGAGGCTCGCCCCACAAGGGTGAGGGGCCGCAAAGCTAATTAAAAATGAAAATAATTGTGAAATTTGATTTTGCCCACCTTATCTGGGATATTTAAACTTCTTTATTTTGAATATTTACGTTCAGTCCACGTATTTTCGAAGTGTTTTTAAATAAAACATACTTTCGCCTTACTATCCGTTATTTGTAGCTTAATATTAGCTAGTTAGACAAATTCTATAAGAGAGAGCGACTTAAAAGGATTGAGAACCATTGGTTTATAAGAATTGCGTGAGACATCTTCTGGGAGTTGAAAATATTACGAAGTGTATTGCTAACTCAATATTGTTGTACTTGATGCTAATCGTGTCCTGAGGAATGTTTGCAGCTAGGTTACAAAAAACGCCTTACAAGTAAAATATCAATTCTGAATCTACAGAAAGAGATGCTAAAGTCAAATATTGAATTATTTGAAATGAATTTTATTTTCCAAAAGTTATTAAAATATTTATTTTATATTTCAGTTGCCTCGCGCGGTCGTGGTGGACAACGTGGTGGCAACAACTCCATGCGACGACAATCTGCTGGAGCCTCCGCATCCCAAGGTAAATATTGTGAATATAAGTCCTCGACTTGGAGAAACAAAATGTTGAGATAAAACGATGGCACTCTCGATTTTTGGATGTGAAAAAGTATATTTTGACCCAAGAAATCGAAGAGTTTCAAAATCCAACTTTGACTCAAAAACCAATTTTGACTAATTCAAAAACACGGATGAAGATTTGACTTTTAAATCCCTGAACTCCAACTACTCAAAGTTATTAACAGTAAACCTACATTTTTAATACTGCCTTGTGGGATTGCCACAACAGAGTAAGTTCAGCAGTTGAAAACTTGATTTTTTTTTGAACATTTCTATATTTCGTGCTAGAATAAATAAAGTACCGTACTCCATATTAAATTGTCTAATCAACTTTCGAATTAGTATGAATAATCCTATGCAAATAATACCTTTCGTAACATTTCAACTACCATCCCAGAAGTGAGGTAATATGCGAATAATCAGATCCCACACAATGGTGCAGAAAATAATAGTAATGAAAGAATTATGAACGAGAGAAACATTCGTATAATATGAAAACTCCAATCCCGTTATCTTATGTAGAGATATCTTTAAAACCTTCTTAGCGCGACAACCCCTACCCATTTATGGGTATGTTTTAAATTATTTTTTTTGTCAATCATTAAGCCCTGATGCTTCACTCATGGCTTTTTAAAAGCGTCTGCTAAAGTTCTATTCAGCATATCTTTATAACACACTCCTATAATAATAAAAAAAATTTCAAAATATTTCGAAATTTCTAATAAAAAACCTTATTCTTGAGATATTCTGTGTACAGTAGAGGGTTAACAATTAACTCCTAATCAACGACTATTATAACATGAATGTTTACTCCGAAAAATTCACAATTGTATTTACAGAATTTTTATAAATAAGCCTTCAATTAACAATTTTGATGACGTCACAGCTCTAAAGATTACTGCACAGACCCCCCCCCCCCTTCCTCCAATGCAAAAAATGTTACTTTTTTCGACGAAAATGCGAGTAGAAAAACGTAAACAATCCAATACGCGCCATCACGCGTGAAAATTACCATTAATTTTACGTTTTTTTCACATACAAAAAATCTTGATACCTCTGCCAAGTATGTTGCAGTCGGAATCATATTTATGAAAAACATCACAACGCCAGGGATGGTATGTATGACTGAAAAAAACATGCTAAACCAATAATAAGTCATTATAAGGGAGTTAATTTCCTGTCTGAGTCGAGTCAACATTTTCAGAGGTTTGACTGGCGATTTGAAATCGACGCTATTAATACGATTCGCACTTTGCGTCACGACTGGAAGCATTTTTATCTTCTCTCGTATCGTGGCATTACGTCATTGAATAGCTAAGCGCGATATTAACAGTATGTTACCCTGCGCTAGCGTAAATAGCGTCGAAAAGCTCATATGAGCTTACCGGCTGTCATAGGATTTGTTAGTAAATTACTCATTTCAATAAGGCAAAATGAATATACAATATTCACTACCGCACCGTCTTATTTAGCGTATATTTGTTGTTGCAGTTTTAGAGCAAGCCAACGCCCTGAGACAAGGAATTAACGGGTCCAGTGTTATTTTTATAAACCCGACATTCAACGACTATAAAACAGGTAATACTAAATAATTGTATATAATTATTAATTCTGTTTATTTATGCTGATATATTTATTTACTTTCCGTTATTTCGCCCCATATGAAATACCAACAAGCGCTGGATGATTATTTTCAGGATTATAAAAATGAGTGTATATAATAAATAGGAATGAATTTTATGAAGTTTGGCTCTTGAATGTGATGATCATTACACAATAAATTTACTATTGGGTAACTCGACTAAATCAGGTGAAAATTTAATTTGAAACAATTGTAGCCACAGTAGGGGATTTAATGTGAACTTTTTTTTAGAAGAACTGTAGATAAACCCGTGCAAACGTTTTTTTTTAATATCGTACTTAAAAACGCCCAAAACCGGTCCCAACTTGCTTTCCGGTTAGCCTAAGTGGACAAGTAAATATGGTCGAAGGTGGACGACATGTTTACAAATAAATTATAACATATTCAATTATACCCTTACTACAACGACAAGCCAAATGTAATATTATTATCCGTTATCTAATGTCACAGTTTGAGAAACGCTGATGTAAACTATTCAATTTGATTAAATTTTTTCAGTAAGTGGAACTAATGTTGCGATGGACAACTCTCAGTTCAATATTCGAGATCAGAACAGACCAAATGTTATTAACAATGGAAGCCTACCTCAGCAGGCACCAGCAGAAGGTAATTTCAAACCCCTAAATAGTTTAGTTTAACGTTTCATACTTTTGTCCCCGTTGGAGCCCCAAGCAAACGGGTTTGAACGGGAAAATGTTTCTATACAGAACAAATATCATATGGTATATCCAATCAATTGCGTATAGCTTTATATGAACTTTTACTCAGAATGTGGGAAAACATATTTTATGAACTTACAAATACAATGCTTATGCTGCTTGTGTCACACTTGTATTGCTTATCCCGGATTGCACACCAGAAACGACAAGTTATGGAAGTTTTCGTCATAGAAGTAGGTGGAGGGCCACCCAGGACTGTGATGTACGTTGCTTAATGGTGTTCTGGTCATGCCAAATTCACCATCAACCCCATACCCCACTCGACATATTATATTCTCTGAGAGTGAGCCCCGAGTGGTAATTCAATTGATTGGTTGGCAATTAGAGAGAATTATCTCCACCACATGCGCCACTTGTGAGAAGTATTATTCGTATTTACAAACTTTTACAGACCAAATGGAGCATGATGCAGACGACCAAGGTGAACCGCAAATACACGACCAACCAGGAGAAAATATAAGGTGAAAATGTCTTTTAATTAATAGAGGCCTTGTTTCTGGGAGGCTAGTATATAAAACCGCGGCTGAAAGTGTAGCTCAATCATTATAAATGAAATTTTGATTACGACACTATCCATCGCATCTGATCTAAGAATTTATAATCGAATCTGACCTGCAAATTTGGGTATAAATTGACTCCAAGCATTACAAGTGACGCCAAGATAACGTTAGTGTTTGCAACTCTTTTTCGATTTCGGTCAAAAATTTACCATGAAAATTTCAAATCTGATTTAGGTAAATTACGCTTAAAATCCAATCTTTATACAATCGAAGCCTAAAATTACTAAGGGTGCTGAATTCTGCTGCAATATTTGACTTTCCATCTAACACCCGTTTTACGGAAATCCCTTTACCCCAATTTCCCACCTTTCGGCCAATATTCCACTCAATAACTTCATCTCATGTCATCATATTCACAAATCTGTCGCAAAATGAACACAATGCGGCGACTTTTTTAATAGCAACCTTCCCTCTTTTGTTTGAGAGCACGGGACGTTGATTTGAAAAAAAATTCATAGAAAAGAATAAAGGAACATAAAACAATTTTTTTGCATGTGTTATTATTCGGCAACAAAAAATATTCTACAAATTTGTACCGCAATTTCTGTAATTGATTCTACTTTTGTATTCATTGCACATTTGTAGTTAATTCCAAAAAACTGTGGAAAGCTCAGATAAAAAGTTGTTTTTTCTATTTTGTGAATATTCACGTCACGCACCTGAAGGTTCAATTAGTAATATACAATCATACCAAACCTAGATTGGTGTCTACATAAAAACGCCGTTGTTTGTCAAATGGTCAAAGCCGTCTTTTCTTTCCCTGGATAAGAATTTAAAGAATTAATTTTATCTGTTTCGTTCCAGGCACCCTGAAGATGACGATGCATCGGACGAGGACAACTTTGAAGATGCTCACGAGAACTTGTAACAAGCGATATAATCCAACCGCAATTCACATGCCATGACACTGCACAGCGTGTAATTAAACGATGCAGGGAATGCCGGGCATAAAAAGTCTCGGTTTTCTCCAAAGACTTGGTGATTTTTAGGTGTCAATGACTGCTTGTATAGAGCCTTGTTTGGAGGTACGTCTTGATACGAACCAGAGAAATCGGTAAATCATTCGTATTACCAAAAACGATTGTTATTGAACCCGTAATTTGGCTTACAGAACAATCTTGCCAGAAATCAAACGTGTGGCAAAAGAGAGAACAAAATAAAACTCAGTCATGGCGATGAGCCTAATGATGTTGACATGGAAAGTTGGAAATGTCCACCACCTAACTGAGTGTAATGTACTGGTTAAAAAATGCCTATGTGAATAGCTGCTGGTATCAGTGGGAGCTTGTATAGCGTCTAATGTCGGGTGTAATCTTGAGAACGTTGAAAAAAAAACATGGCAAATTCAAGTAAAATATTATGCCGTGACAATGAATATTGCACCAAAGTGTTTATGGTTCAAACTGCGGTTTTCAAAGGTAGCGCAGCGGCGCACTAAAATTTTGCTTATATTTTTTAGGCCCGAATGTTTATACACTTTAAAAAAATAAAGTACACTTTAACAATCAAAAAATTGAGTTTCATCAAAAGGCAGCATTTTTTTTGTATAAGTGCGCCGTCATATATTTTTTCTGATAATTTGGCACCGCACGATCGAAAAGTTTGGAAACCGCAAATGTTAAAGTAACTAACAAGCGGCCTTCGCAACTATGCATTTTAAATCAGTAAGTCATGTTTTAGTGACAAAAGGTATCACTACACTTTCACTTATGATAGTTTAATTGCACAAAATAGACCGTTGAAACGTGTACTTATTAGTAGCTGCTTGTATGGAGCCCAAATTCTACCAAACTTTGAATTGAATTTATGCGACACTGTTTTTTTACAACGATTTTGTACCGGTGATATTCATACACAATTAAAACTAGTGCTCCGTTTCAAGCATTTTCTTTTTTCTATTTGATACATTCTTCTACCGACCTCATACATTTTGGTGGCTACCCCGTTTCTGTTAAATTAAAAAAATTACTGAATAACAGTTGAAAATAGATGAATGATCAGCAATCATATAATTCAGATATTTTAAAAATGCTCATTTCTATATCATGTGATGTTTATATACCGTTATGGAGCATCAGGAATACTCGTTAACGTTACCAATGTCATTGTGTGATGGGATCCAAGTATTCAAAGATGCTTATTTTATTTGTCATGATGTTTATATAACAGTATGGAGCATCAGAAATAAATTTTAACATTACGACCTTCATTAATTGATGAGAGAAGGGACTCGGTGAAAGAAATTGTGTAAGTTGTAAACCAGATAGGCTGTGGGCAATCATAGTGTAGCCACAGCAGGGCGTGAAACCGTTGGTACAGGAGGGCTAAATACAAATAACTGGATGAAACCATGAGACACACAACATAAAATTTTGGTACTCCCGAGCCACACTTATCTGAAGACATTATTATAATCATTGAATATTTTATGTTAAAAACGACAACACATTCAGAATCTGGGATTAAAACATTGTCGGTTTGTTAGTTTAATGCGTGTTACTCCCAAGATACTGGATTATATTAATTCTAGGATGAGAAAAGCCCATATATTACGAACTAAGAGATAGCAAGTTCATATGTATGGTGGACGGAGTCGTAACGTACTAGCGGTGGGATTAATCACACAGCGACGACCAGGAGTCCAATACTCGTAATATTAGATAAATTAAATCTATAATTTTACCTAGCCGCCATGATAATGCATTCTTAACGCTTTGACAGGAGTGCCATATTCTATAGTCAAATTATCAAATAAAAAAACACAAATGTAAATTACTTTCAGCCTTTTTCTTTCATCACGACTTTTCTTGGTCAGTCGGACACTATCTGTAAGAAAATAAAAATTTTGTGTGTTGTGAACACGTTTTAAATCAGTTTTACTATGTTATAATGTACAAAGTTTTTCGACGAATCGAAGTAACCTTGCCCAACGTAATATGGCAACACTCTGAATATTTTTTTCAAAGTATAAACCAAATACTGTTGTGAGGTTGAAATCGCGAAGATCGTTGTGAATAAGTTTTGACAAACTTTCTTTCTAAATGCCAAATGAGTGGAATTATTTATTTCGTTGGTTAGAGCGGTTGGACCTTCTCCGGTTGAAAATATCAGGGGCGTTGTGCACCAGAGTGTAACAAATAAAAACGCAATGCTGTGCCAGGAAAAATAGCAGCATCCTACTAAATAATAGCTGCATGTTCTGAGCCTAATTTGGAATGAAAATGAAGGGTCGTGACCACAGGATGCGTTATTTGACTTGAACATTATTAAATGTCCGGACGTAAATTACGTAAATATAAATCAAAAGTTTGTCATACGTTTAGGGCCAGGTAAATAAATATTTTCAAACTCAAAATATATCATAGAGTAGGAAGAACTCACTTGATCCATTGTTTTTCTGTGAAATAAATAAATACAAATTACAGATGATTAGTGAAAAGATTATAACACGTAACTTGTATCAGATTTCATTAGTTGCGTGACATACATGCAGGAGTCGGATTTTAAAATTTGCTTAAGCAATTCAGAAAATAAAATCTACAAGTCTCAAAAAATCAGTAACTCTGGAACAGTGGTTCCCAGATGTCGGCCCGCGGGCCAATTACGGTCGGCGTAACAATTTAATGGTAACAATGGCCGGTACCGGTAGATGAATTATCGTTATCGGCCTTTTGCGGGCGCATCCTCTATCCTGGCCCGCGAATATCATTACGCTTTCGATTTTTGCACGTAGTCAATCAACTTTGTGGTTCCACTAATCTAGAAGAATCATTGGCTGCTTGCCCAAAACCTTGTTGGGTCTCAAAGTGTGGAAATGCCTGATTAAAAAATAGCAACTTCGAATTTACCTCGCAATTTCCAAATTGAACGAGTTTCCCATTCACGATCTAGGAAACACAGGCTCGAGCTGTCAAAAATAAAACGTGGAGTTAAATATAACGACATCTTATGGCAATTGCGACACTGATAGAGTGTGATATTTTTAAATGATTTAGGATCTTCGGTATTGTAGCATTTTTGACACCAGAAGCCAGACATGCAACTACAAAATCTAACAGTGCTTTTATTCAAAACCGGGTAGTTTTTGCTTTGCATACAAGCCATAGATGAGAGAGATAAATAGAAATATTTTAACAAAGTACACGTTTGCATCCAGAAAAGTTTGATGACACAACTAAAGGTTTAGTTATAAAGTGAATATCTGTAAAAAATATTTGAGGCGTAACATAATTTTATTTCAATTTTCCTTATTTTAATTTTATTACCAGTACATGGCTAGCTAAGTGACTCCCGTAGTTTTTGTACCAGAAATTATCGCCTAACCCGGACTTGATACACATACTACGTTCCGGTGTCCGCCATCCTGGTTCACGTACTACGGGAGTACCCATTAATGATAGTTTAGGAGAGGCTTCACGATATTAGCTGATGCATCACACAAAGAATTTCAAGTCTATTGGAACTCAAACGTTTTTGATTCTGCATTACGCTTCTCTTAAAGTTGCTTGAACTAAGCATGCTCTGACGAACTAACCTGAACGAAACACAAAAACCAATCGTACACTGCGGACCTGATGAGCTTTTACTGGAACTTCTTCACATCACAACTACCAGATTCACACATTCATGTCCCTATTCAATTTATAACTGCTAGTCCTCGTACCCCAAGCCTTACAAATAATATCTTACTGCGCATTTTATCACTTTTCGATCTCAACCCTTCTTCGCGTAACAACCATTTTCGTCATTTCCTCTGTCACATTAAAATTCATTTCGCTTGGCTGACAAAAAGTGGTAATGAGTCACCCATCGTGCAAAGAAAACCAGTTGCATTATCGTTTTGCATTTTTTCGACATGTAAATGAGAATTGTATGCACGCACAAACAACATGACTGAAATAATATGTATTGTCTTGTTTTGCGTGATTCCCACAGCTACATCTCGTGTGAAACTCGTGAGCATATTCAGCATATCATGAGTTAAATATTGGAACACGCACTCGATCAAAACAAGAAAATAATCTAGTCTTATGGTACAAGTTTAGATCCCGCAGGCAAATTGAATGTGTCTTTAGCAATGTCCGCCAATTAATTTTCTAGGTGCCATAAAACCTTAATGAAATAATAAATTAAAATATTTATATGATTTTAGATCTCATGTTACATTAAGATCAGGCTTTCAGTGTCTGATTTCAAGGATCTTCGTTCTGGTTAAAGATGTGTGGAAACACATGGAAACAATCCGTAAACAAATCAATTTCTAATTACCTTTAACCCGGAAAAATTCGATTAGCGTCCATTACTGTTTCACCGAATTTTCTCGATTGTTATCTGAATATCTGTTGTGCTGGATATATTTAGTATTGAAGGACAAAAACATATCAATAGGACGGCATACATTAATTTAAATGTTAAGTTCGGACCGGAAAGTCAGTCGTACGCCAAAAATAAATATCGGTAAAATGAACTTCGACTCCACCATTGGGTATTTGACTTCCGACTTCGATCTTTCCATGTTAAATTTACTTTGCGAGCAGTACCTACAAATGACCTATTATTTAGAATAAATAAGACATCAATTCCGAAATGTACATTTCGTGAGAGGAATGTTGAAACCGTGTTACATTTATTTTATTTCTGTGAATTTGTGCAAAAATTTTGAGAAATAGTTAACGCGTGGCTAAGTGTTAAATATGGGTTAAATCTTAATCTGACATATAGACAAATTTTACTGGGGGTAGAGCAAAACCAAGGTATAAACTGTGTTTTATAAGTGCAAGATATTATTTATAACTGTAAACTACGTAATGAAAAGCCTCAATTTGACCAATTTATATATATTAAAGAAAAGTGTTTATAACTGTGAAAAAATTATTGCAACTAGAAAATATAAACTGTCGAACCACATAAAGATATTGAAGGTTATCATAAACTCATTTCATTTTTATACGTGCAATTGTATTCCTGTGTTATCGTGTGTATAAAAAGTGATGTTTTTAATAAAAATAAAAATAAATTGGGTATTGAACAGAAGTTTTGTGGTTTTGTATTTCGCTGACTTGGAAGTTTGTACGCCATGCGTAAGACGAAAGGTCTGCCTATCTCATTATTGCAACTGGAAAATGTAATGCCTCTCTCATTTCCCATTGCTATATCTATGGAAGGTAAAAGCAAAGGCCTTAAATCCAGGAACAAAAATTTGAATTATCCAATGTTCGAATATACAGTTCGAAGCAATTTTTATAAAAACTGTGCATTTTCCCCGTCATTTCCTCTGCAACATCTAGTAGGTAATTAGGATAGGATTTACATATTTACATGGGCGAGGAAAGCCGATAAGACTGCTCAATCATATGGCAAACCACGGCCTCCCGTCCGGTTACCAGTCCATGTCAGGTATGGGGTTATATAGCCAGTTATTTGTTTCGAATGCATGGACTTGGTGGTGAAGGAAGCCGTAATCGACCAGCGGTTACGTTATCTCATTGTTTCCCAACCCGAGTCCGCGGTCTCTAATGAGTCTAATGCCTTATAGAAGATACTAGGATTTTTTTAACGGCGATAACAAATTCGCAAGATCGCAAAATGTATCAAAACTAAATACGAGATAGCGATCAGATTTATGATGAATGCACATCCAAAATTTGGAGCAGATTCCACGTCGCTTCCGTGAGATATCGCGTGTATCTAACAGACAGACAAATACCTCTCAACATACTTACCGACCAAAATCGATAAGTAATAATCGGGCAATATATTCTAACATTAGTATGTTCGCAGAGTGACGTGGCATTTTGGTGGGCCGCGCATATTTTTGGAAAGTAAAAAGCCGAGCGTATGTCCAATGAATCACATTTTTTCATACAGATCAGGAGTTAAATTTTAAGCAGCGTCCGAAGACTGACCATTTAAATATTGAACCAATTGCATTCAGCGTTCAACTTTTCTGCGTTTTGTTGCCATTGAATGCCTAATTATAATTGAATTATAGGCTCATTCAACGTGTAATTGCGAATACTAGTAATTCGTAATTTTTATTCGAATATATATACTTGTTAGGTTATGATAAAATTTAGTCAAAACGAGCCACTGAATAAATTCTGTCACGTAAAGAATATAATCGCAAAAAACACGCTGTTTTGTCACCATAATTCAGAGAAACGTCGCGGGCCTGATTATATTGCTCCGCTGGCCGTTGCAGACCCTGCAGTGAAGCAGATAATTCTGAGCACCCGAAATTTTGCAATTTGCAACATGTCTAAAAAAGCGTTTTTAAAAAAAAACCTATGGTGTTTTCAGTTTTATTTTCAGTATTTTGTATTGCCACTTTTCAATTTAGGTTGCCACCATTGACACCTACCAGAAAAATTATTTCTCGAACAACAACGACTAAATCCAAACGTTTAATTAAACGACGCGCAAGTAACCTGTCGCGTCACTTGTTACCAAATTTTCGAATAATAAATTGCTATTCTAATAATTGAATATTCGAATATATGCCAAGCCCTACTCATTCAGTATCCAGAAATTATTGACTCGAATAATGTTATATGAATAAACTTTTTTTTTATGTTTTATGTTAATTCTGACGTAAATCGTGGCTGATGGTTAAGTTTCGCAAAAACGTTCGCGACCCGCAGTGAATTTCAGGCTCGTTGCGGACTCATTCAAATGCTCCGCGGACTCATTTAAGACCGCGGACCCGGGTTGGGAAACACTGGTTAGAACTTATGAATACAAAATTTGCACAATGCAAACGTTCTTATGCGAGATCAGCATTGTCCCAACATGGCGCTGCATGGCAATAACTCACCTTGTTAAATTTACAATTAGTGAATTCCTCTGTATATTATTTAGAAGAATGCCGTCCCGACAGTTTTAGCTTGACGTTTTTTAATAACGCCAGTGAGACTCAACTGAGATACTCTGATGACCGGGACTCAACTTGACCTAACACTGATTTCAAGTTTGAATTGTGCTGAGTCACGCACATATTTTGCTGAATAACGTTTTATTTTTACCTTATGATGAGTAATTATCTCAAGTCATATTTATGTGCTTCCCAGAACAGTTTATTTTCTCATTTGCACAAAAGCTAATGCGGATTTCTAGCTGCTCAATAATAAATGTTCTATAATCATACTGAACTAAGTTTTAGAAATTCTCCCTAATTTACCTAACCCGAGGTATGTCAGGCGTGGTCATTCTCACACATGAGCATTTTTTATTTCACGATTCATTTCCTCTTACGTTGGATTCCCATAAAATAAAAACACAAATGATCGAATCAATATTTATTATCACGTTTAGTTATATACAAAAATTACATATGTTGAGACAGCCATGAATTTGATTTACTGAGCAAAAAGTTTCAACAGATAAGGCGATTCAATACATGGGTTATACGTTAAATGATAGTAAATGAATAATATAAGTAAAAAGTAAGAATTCAACTCTGAATATCATTCAATTCGTCAACGAAGTTTTATCTGTTACATTTTGAACTGAATTTCATACTTCACAGATGACACCGCTGTATGGGTCGGATGGTTGACGATTCATCGTTCCCTGATATTTATTCTCTGGATCTTTTCTGACAGCAACACATACATTTGAGTAGCGTGCAAGAGAATTCGGATAATTATTGGCATGCCATACTTCTGTCGCTATAGTGATTGCTCGTCCATTGGAAAGCAACAGCTGATTGCTCTGTAACATTTGAATAAATAGTTTCAAAATTTGCTGCTTAAAATGTTAATGCGACTTGCATATTAGATGAAGAATGGGAATATTTACTTGTAGCAATAGACCACAAAGTAAATATAGTCATCACAGGCGAAGTATAATAAGTAACGCTAAATTGTACTAGTCGTGTGCTAGGGATTGTATAAAATGGATGAAAGCCAGAAATTACTGAAAATATCCTAATTATATAATACTTCTCGGTCCAGACAACTCGGCTATGACGTTAAAATACATCGGAAAATATATTCCATAAATTAAATTAGAAGGCATCTGTTTTGTGCTTGTATGTCGTCAGCGTTAAAATGTTGATAAAATGCGTCAAACTCTTTTGAGTACTCAAATTTCAGTTTATGACCTATCAAACTGACCTTGTACTCCATTCCTGTCCAAATGAGTATATGAGGCCTACGTGCAGGGATTACTGAACGTAGGTGAGCGCGCAACAGCTGGAAATGAGTGAGGTCGTAAATATTCGCGGGTTTTCCTATGTTCATTGATTTGCAAGTTGGTGCGGCATCGTAGAAGGTGACGTTCTTTGAATCATACACAACCGTTCGAAAGCATTTAGAGTCGTATTTGACGTCACATTTATCTAAATTCATTAGGTCATTGAATATTTCATGTTAAAAGACGTCTTTAAAAATGTATAAAATGCGAAGAAATTTCATCTAGAAATACGGTATTCCATTAATTTCAGGAAGAGAAATGCAAAAATACGATCTAAGAACGGCGGAACAAGTTTGTTTCGGATAGCGAGTTCGGATGCATTGTTGGTGGACAAAAATAATTGGTTGGTTGGGCGACGACCAAGAGTCCAAATTCTTGAAAAACTTAACAAATTGATCTAGATTAAAACCTACGAAGCATAAAAATTTATTTCTACCACATTAACGGGCGGTGCATATTTTATAGTCAAATTATCAAATCATTAAACACAATAGAAATTACCTTTAGCATCACGTTCAAATTTTTTTTTCTCATCAAGACCCTTTTCGATTAGTCGGGCGATTTCTGTAAGAATTCAATATACTTTAGTCGTGTCTAGAGAAAGGCGTTTTAAATCAGCTTTATTCAAGCTATGATGTCAAAAGTCTTTTTCGTTGAGGGCCTTAGGTGATGGCCAAAATATTGCAACGATGTAAATTATTTATTACCAAGTTTAAAGCAAACATTGTTGTAAGGTTGGTGTCACAAAGATCTTTGTGAATAAATTTTGCCAAGTTTTCGTTATAAAAGTTAAATGAGCGGAAATATTTATGTTTTTTGTTAGAGCTTTGGACCGGGCTATGTTGACGTCGTGGACTGAAGATACTAGACGCGATACGCACCAGAGTGTGTGAGAAGTTAAAATGCTAGAAAAATTACGGGGAAAGCGTCTCCCCAATTAATGACTGTTCCGTTCTAAGCCTTATTTGAAATGAAAATAAAAGGTCTCCTAACCACTGTATACGTTAACTGACTTTAACGTCAAAAAAATTTTTGAACCATTGCGTAAATATAAATCAAAAGTATATCATTTTTTACGAACACCAGAGTAAATATTTATAGTTGTTGCGTCACTGGTTGAGTGCATTTTTGCGTTCAAAAGTATATCATTTGTTATGGTCACAAGAGTAAATACTTTTTGAACGCAAGATATATCATGAAGTAGGTCGAACTCAAACTCACCGGATCCATCTTTTTTCTGTGGAATAAATGCAGATGATTTGTAAAGTGATCATACCCAGATTATATTAGTTGCGTGGCATACAGAATTCGGATTTAAAATTGGGTTGGAAATTCAGAAAAAAAGCTTCCAGTCACTACAAAAATAGTAACTTTAAAAGTATCAGTGGCTGCTCATCTAAAGCCTTTGTTTGAAGTCAAAGTTTGAAAATGCCCAATAACAAATAGAAACTGTAATTTTACCTTGCAATCTCCAACTTGAACAAGTTTCCCATTCACGATCTTGGAAACGCAGGTTCCAGCTGTCAAAAATAAAGTTATTTTAAAGTTGAATAAATGAACAACATTTTGCGACAAAATCTAAAAATGTCGTCAGACCACTGATTGAGTGTGAAATCATTTGAAATGATCTGTTATAAGCATTCTATCCCTCTAGCACCAGAAGTGGTGGACGTGGACAAAAATAGTCTGCAAAACAGTGTTGCAATTTCTAACAAGTAATTATATCCAGAAATTACCTTACCAGGTACTTTTATCTCTGCAAGAAAGCCACAGATGAAAGAGATGAAGAATATTATTTTGACGAATTCCATATTCTCGTTTTTAAAATGGTTTGGTGACGCTGATATATGATTAGCTATATAGCTATATCTGTGAAAATGAGAAAGAGTTTTTAATATAGGTTTACCAAGTTAGCTGTCGTAATTGGCTTGTTTAAAGTAAACGCCTAAAGTAAGTTGAAACTTCCCAGCACAACTACCACAATTATTCCTGCATTCCTGTCCCTATCTAATTTAAAATTATTCGTATTCATACCTCAAGCCACCCATCTGTCACCATTTACATCATTTCCCTCCTCCACAGTGAAATTTTACGCATTTCGATTGAAAAATTTTTTGTGAGTCATTTATGCGGCTGTGCTGGAAAACCCAGTTTGCGCAATCATTTTACATTTTGTCTTTTTTTTTTGTCGCGCATAAGTAACGCAAATAAAACCGTGTTTCTGCAAAAATAAAACAGGGTCGAATTTCAATTTTCTTTCGAAAAAGAACCCGAGGGCTTAGACATGGGGCATGTCCCGCCAATTTTGCCAGGGGTGCCAATTTTGAATGGTGTGCGCGCGAAAAGTTTTTTTTTCGGTTTAGTTAATACACGAAGTTATAAAAACGTGCCTCTTACGGAAATCGTTTGTAGTCGGTGTGACAATAAATTTGAATATCAGTTTCTTTGGAAAAGTCATGCGTTTTAAATCGCCATTTCTACACGGACCCCTAATAATGCCGTAAGATTAATACCAAAACTTAAACATATATTTTGTGCCAACTACCAGAAAGACTGTTTTAAATAAAGGTGCGCCTCGCTGCTTCACCCATTTACTTGTATCTGGCCCTCCTGTAGTAAAGGTTGCACACCCCCGGACTAGGTCTTTTTATATGGATAGCGCTTCTATTGAAATCATTTTTAAAATTCAGGCTAGGTCTTATTTTCGGAGAAACACGGTTATATTACTTTTTCTAACTTGATTTCCTATTGTTATATATCTTTTGTCATTCGTTAGGATGTTCAGCATAAAATGAGTATTGCGTCTCAGACAAGATCATATCAAAATACTGTAAATATCGTGCTCCATGAAATTCTTCCGGCAACGGGCGCTCAAACGCTTTTTCCAAAATTTAAAATTAAAAAATATTTGGGATTTTAAACCCTATTTCGGTCTTGGTCGGTGATTACAAAAAACTCCAAAGATATCAATAGCGCCATTTATAATTGTAACTCGCCAATAAAAGACAAAGAAACTGTATTTCGGACGTGTATCGGACGTCGATTATCCCTTGTACAACCCCGTCTGGTAAAAATCATAGGGCTAGGTGTTTCAACAATCCCCTAAAGTTCTTTCAATACCTCGCAATTAACTCGGCTCGGCTCTTGAAGTTTGGTGACCTTGAATTACGCATGACCCAACTAACTAGTCTAAAAGAACCACAAATATAAAATATATCTTGCGGACTCGACGACAATAAGCCACCCATGAAATTCTTTCACTGAACATCCAAAGCAAGACTTCGATACATTCCTGTACATGTCTAATTCAAAATAACTAGTACTCATTCATACCTCTAGACGTCCATATGTTATCATTTACGTCATATCTCTCCACCACAGTGAAATTTTACGCGTTTTGCCTAAAAAATTTTCTGTGAGTCGCTTATGCGACTGTGCTGAAAAACCAGTTTGCGTAATCATTTTACATCTTGTCCACATGGAAATTTCGTGCCGCGCGCGCATAAGTAACGCAACTGAAATGCACCGTGTTTCCCGAAAATATGGCAGGGTCTTACTTCATTTTCCTTTCGAAAAATAACACTAGGTCTTATTTTAGAGGTTCGTCTTTTTATCATTTATCAAATACAAAAAAGTAGAAAATCAAGCAATTTTCAAATATACAAAATACGAAAACCGATATTCATTTACTTATATATAACAAATTTTTATTTAAAAAATCGCTGAGCCTGGGATATTTAGGTCATTGAACATTTTTCTCTGTCACACGTTTCAGATTCCTCATCGACTAGGTCAAAAATTGCGCTATCGACCACTGGTACACTAGGTTTTATTTTATGAATAGGGCTTAGATTAAAATCATTTTTATAATTCAGGCTATGTTTGAGAGTGTGAGATTTCACACCACATTCCGGACTTGGTTGGGTGATTACGAAAAAGTCCAAAGCTATCAATCACGACCATTTATAATTGTAACTCGCCTATAAAAGACAAATGAATCGTATTCTACTATATCGATTATATCTGCTAAAACCCTTATCGGTTAGAAATCATAGCGCTGGGCGCTTTAATAAACATCTAAAGTCATCCCAATAACTCGTAATGAACTCGGCTAGGCGTTCAAGTTGGTTGACCTGGCTTGAATTACGCATGAACCAACGAACTAGTCTAAACGAACCACAAATATACCTTGCGGATCTGGCGACAATAAGCCTCACTGAAATTTTTTCAATGAAAATTCTGAGCACGACTTCCACAATTATACATTACTGTTGATCTCTAATTTAAAATTACTTGTATTCATACCTCAAGCCGCCCATATGGCACCATTTACATAATTTCCCACAGTGAAATTTTACACGTTTAAATAAAAAAAATTTTTAGTCACTTATCCGACTGTGCGGAAAAATCCAGTTTGCAATATCGTTGTACATTTTGTCCGCATGGGAATTTTGTTTCGCGCGTCCATAAGTAACGCTACTGAAATAGTACCGTGTTTTCTCGAAAATAAGACAGGGTCTTATTTCAATTTTCTTTCGATAAATAAAACATAGGGCTTATTTAGATGTCTTTTATTTTCATTTATCAAAAACAAAATTACACAGTAGAGCAGCGTTTCCCAACCTTTTTTGGTCACGGACTATTTTCTCACCGGCGAAAACCTTTGCGGACTCAAGGTGCGTTTATTGCAGGAAGCAATAAAACCAAGCACAGCAGAATTTCAACAATGGCCTTTTCTGTCGCACAATATTCAATCCATGACAACGACGAGAATTTGAAATGTCTTTCTATTTTACTTTATTTGTGTTCATGGTAACTCGCGGTTGCGTCGACGTACGACAAGATGAAAGCATTAGTGTTTTAAAATGCCACGGCAATCTGCGAACATATTAATGTGAGAATATATTTCCCGATTATATTTAGTTTTGATACATATTTTTTGCAATCTTGCGAATTTGTTATCTCTGTTAGAAAAATCTTACTATCTATAAATTACCAGAAAGTTCAACTTGTTTCGGTACTTGATAAAAATATATTTAAAGTATATTAATAAATCGAAAATACATATTCATCGCCTTGCTTTATTATTAATTTAATTGTGATCATTTTAATCTGCGGTTGTGTTGAAAAAATAACAGCAATAGTACTCAGCAAATATCATGACAATCCGTGGACACAAAAATGCGTTGTAAAGTGCCCGATTATATTTTGTTTCAATTCGTATTTTTGTGAACTCTACAAATCTGAGCTGCTCATACAACACCTACGCAGTACTGCACGTACCAATGTGGAGGCAGTAAAGTGAAGAATACAAAGGGGATAATTGCCCTGGTACGTATACTACAGTAGCACCCGAAATTTTGCGATTTGCAATGTCTGAATAATCGTTTTCAATTGGTCGCGGACCATCATAAAACAAAACATATATGGGATCTTCGTTTCATGTTCATTATTTTGTATTGCGCTTTTCAATTTAGGAAATTTGGGTTGTCACCATTACAACCTACCATAAAAAAAACGTTGTTCGAACTCGCGAGAAACACCACTTAGGTATCTATCGACGCGTGTGCACAGCAGACTCTTGTTTTCCTCGGAAATCCGCATGCGAGTTGTGAAATCTCATCGTTCGATTAAGCGACGCGCAAGGGACCTGTCGCGTCACCTGCCACCAAACTTTCGAATAGTATAATGCTATTCTAATAGTTGAATATTAGAATATATGCCCAGTCCTACTCAGTAACCAATTATTATTGACTTGATTAATGTTATGTGAATGGACTTGCCATGTTTTATGTAAATTGTAAATTCTAACGTAAATTGTAACTTGGCTGATAGTTAAGTTTCGCAAGAACGTTTGAGGCCCGCAGTGAAATTCTGGCTCATTGCGGACTCATTTGAACGCCCCGCGGACTCATTTGAGACCGCGGACTCGGGTTGGGAAACACTGCAGTAGAGAATCAGGAGATTTTCAAGTATACAAAATACAAAAACCAATATTCATTTACTTATAAATAACTCATATTTACCTTAAAAAAATCTGCTAAGCATGGAATATTTAGGTCATTGAACATTTTCCTCTTCCACACGTTTTATATCAAACCTCTAAAAAGTGTAGGAGAAATTTCA